TAAAGTGAAAAATAAATGTCTCCTGTTTTTTTTTTGCTTCTCTGGTTCACACTGTATTAAAGCAAAAAAAGAAATATCTAAATTTTTACGGACATTTAGAAATGCAGACAGAAATTAGGCACGGGCTGAAAATTGATCGATTGGTTAGTTGATTATTGTTGCCGAACAAAGTGTAATTGTTGTTGTGGCGCACTCTCTCGTTCTCTTCACTCTGTCCAGCTATTAATCACATACATTTGATTATGAACACTGATGGTGTCATACCGATTATGAAACACATTCATTTTTATTCTGTGCTCTGTGAATGACTGCGCTTTTGTTGCGCCATTCAATCGAATGATCGATGAATTTTGACAAATTTTTTGTTATGGTTTAATTTTTATTGTGTTACATTGTTTCTCTTTAAATGCCCAGTGGCAAATGACAATTCAACAAAAGAGTGACGAATAAAGAAAACGAAATATAAGTAAAAAGGCCGTGAAAACGGTCCAAATTGAATATGTTAGCAACATATTGTATTTTAACTGAATTAATTCAATTGAATACATATGGATATCACATTGTTAGCCTTGCGCAATTGTCACTAATAGTGGCTCACTTCAATCAGAAAAAAAAAAATAATTATTTGAGAGAATTTTTTTGTTTTTCCTTTTTTTGTTTGAATAAATATAAAAATAATAAATGTATTGTGTGTTTTTTTTCGATTTTAGGTGAAAATTTGGTTTCAGAACCGTCGTATGAAATGGCGAAATTCCAAAGAACGCGAACTTTTGGCAAGTGGCGGAAGTCGCGATCAGACGCTACCCAATAAGAATAATCCAAATCCCGATTTATCCGATGCACGTACGGACCGTCAACCATCCATTTCGCCAACATCAGCATCACCGAATTCAACTCTTATGGATCAATCGCAGTCATCACAAAATCTGGACCATTTTACCAATTCAAATATGACACCAACAAGTAAATCCGGCTTGGAATTGCATAGTAAATCGAATGTAATTCTATCGAATGGCTGTAATGGCAAAGATGGAAAACCATTTAAGATTGAAAAGGGCGCATCGATGAATGAATCAAATCATCCATTTGTCGATCAATTCATGCCGAATGCCAATCAAGCAATTTTATCACACTTGGGCGCATCATCAAATGAAGAGAATCGACGCGAATCAACAGCACCACCACCACAACAACAACAAATCTTTAATCATTTTTATGATAAAGTACGCGACATCAATAATTCCGTTGCGTTCAGCAATCGTTCGGAAAATGTTGGCAACATGTCCAATTATTACTATGACGAATTCGATTCGAATTCCGATGAAGAGATCAGCGTAACTTGAAATGATTACGTCAAAAATCGATTCAGGTGAATGAAAATTAGATTTTCTTTTCGTTGCCAATAACATTTCAAACTCATTTTTTTTATTCACTTCAATACCAACCATGGGAATTTAATTTTTTTAATGAGACAATTCTTAAAGGAGAAATCTATATAACCGTTTCACTTTTAATGTTAATTTGCAAAACTCAGTTGAAAATGCCACTCAAAATGACTCAATCTATGGATTTTTTTTTCAAGCATTTTTTGTTAAATGTGTTTTTATATGAAACTAAATGAATCTTCTTTTTTCAATTTTGGAAATGCATTTTGCATAAATGATTTATTCAGTTTTGTGTGGAATTTAACGTCTTATAAACAAGACATATTGCCGCCGGCTGAGATTACAAACGAGAAAGAGAGATAGAGGAAGCTACAGAACATGTAATTTGTAGATCAAAATCAGGTGGAAGCTGAAAATTTGTAAATGTAAATAAAAAAAAACGGCAAATAATATAAATTTGTTCTGTAAGTGATTTGCTAAGTGAAATAAGAATTGTCTTAAACCATTCGTAAGCATATTTGTAAGCAAACAATTAATATGTATTTGAACTGAATGAAAGAAATTGGTTGAAAAATGAAACATTTTGGCATCTACAACAAAATGAAATTATCAGTGATGGATTTTTCCTATCTGAATAGCGCTAGCTATTCGCAGCGTCTGAACAGCATTGCTGCCCAGATGCTGAATCGAAGCGGTTGCCGCACGCGTTTTGTACCACACAACATATTGTCATATAGTCTAAGTAACCAGTGAGCTCACAGAGTATGATACACTAATACCATAGTCAGTATACAAACGCATGTCGAACAGAGAACGAACGCGAACGTATAATGCTCTGTGTGGTACAAGCGAAGTGTGTTGCGCGTGCGGCAACCGCTACGATTCAGCATCTGGGCAGCAATGCTGTACAGGCGCTGCGAATAGCTAGCGCTATTCAGATAGGAAAAAACCATCACTGGAAATTATCGATAAATAGTATTTAGTCAGTCAAGTCAATCTATGTGAATTTTAACTCAAACTCAAACCAAATTTAAAAATAGAGACTATTTAATAAACTCATTGTAAGATTGTCGCTGTAATTTATTTAGTTGGACAAAATAAAGTGAAAAACATACGATAAAAATTCAAGCAAAAAATTGTTCGAATACGTTTCATTCACTTTTTTTTTGTTGAAGAAATGATGAAAAAAAGCGGTTATTTTTAGTTACACACGCATTAAACTTGATGACGTCAATACAGGTAAGTATGAATGCATAGTGGTATCGGTGGCTCACCTAATGAAAACTTAAAATGAAGCAATTTAAGTAAAAAATAAAAAGCCACTTGTTAATGACATTAAACAAAAAAAAAGAAGAAGAACCAATAATATGTCTTTATTTTAGTTTTGAGGTAATGTTAAGTCATTGAAATTGACTATAACCATCACAATAATAACATGGAAAGTTGTTTTCAAAGATTAGCTTGTTTTTTTTTATTGTTATAATCACTTTTTGCTCAATTTTAAATACCAAAAGAATATGTTGCATTTTGTAAATGTTTCAATCCAATAAGTATCAAACTTTTAAATATTCGGGAACATTTTGTCTACTTATGTTAACAGCACTATAAACTAATATTTCCACTTGTCAAGCGGTCGATCCCGATTGGACGAGAAACTGTTGCTACGATGCATCGTTTCGTTTTGATGATATGACGTAGATGGTGTTGAAACATTGATCTGAATATCGAGCATTGAATGTGATTTGTTGTTTGTCTTATTGTTTTCACTCTTTGAATTACTTGACGTTGATGATTCCATTCCTTTGTCGTAAGTTTGTGAATGTGGTGAATTTGTGTAAGAATTCTTTCTTGTGTTATTCGAACCATTTGCATCTGATGGATGGTAGACATTGATTTTAAGACCCAATAGTTTTCGATCCAAAAGTAATGGTGGCAATGCTTTGTCCCGTTTCAATTGAGTATATTGGTCAATCATATCGGCATAATTTGTGTGCTCGTTGCTGGAGAAAATGTAATCAATGTGTTCACTCATTCTTTGACGCATTTCCATGGATACATTTGTTGCTGTCTCTTGACTAATGACACGTACACATTCTTGCAAATCAAACAAATGACGCTTTCCATCGCCCAAGCCATATCGTCCGAATATGATCATGTTTAAGTGTTTACGCAAGTTACCAATTTTTTTAACGTTTGCCTTCGATGGATTCTTTTCGGTTGCGCGTATTCGATGAAAAATCGTATGAACATCACATAGTCTACTAACATTGCATGTTGGTGAATCCAATATAGCCAATTGATTCCGAACAAAATTGATCAATGTGACACGATTTTTTGGTAGTTGAACGATACTGCTTGATTTTTTCGACACTTCAATTGTATTAAAGAATTGCTTTAAAACATTATGAAAATTTTGTTGATCACTTGCGATACCATTGACAATCAAAACATTTCCAAATTGTCGCCATTCCAAACGTACCGATACATTGAACTGGGTTTCACTGTCACGTAAAAATTGATGTCCACTATCCGATAGCAAATGTTTGCAGTGTTTTTGGGTGAGATGGATTGTGGCATCACTTTTTTCATTGGCATTTGTCGTTGAATCGGCCGAAATGGGCGATGGTGATCGTGTTGGCTTATATTTGTCTGGTTCATCGTTTGTCAACGATATGAAATCAGGTAAAATGGATGCAGTTGTAACAATATCATTTGCTCGCTCAGAAATCGTTGATTCACTCTCGGTGGTTGTGTTTTGATCACTGCTCTCATCTTCCTCCACAGCATTTGACTTATGCAACAACATTTTCTCTCGTAGTTCTTCAAGAGTGTGGATTTTATCATTCAATATCTCAATTTCAACATCTTTTTTGGCTGAAACCACAGTATTATCGTTTTTGGGCTGAGCATTTTCCGTTTCATTGGAAACTGTAAGCTCTTCAACTTCATGTTCTTCTTTGGCTTCTTTGTCTTCTTCATCCTGCACGTCGTCGATGGTCATGAAACTATCATCTTGTGTATTTTCTGAAAATTCCTCAGAAGCACTAACATCTTCAAGTCCCGACATTTCGAAATCAGCATCATCAACAATTTCGATTGTAGGACCATTGGTGCTGTGTAAATTCGTTTCATTCACAAACAGCACATCATTTTCGGAAGATGTGCTTTTGTTCAGATTTGTATCTAATTTGACTGCCCGTTGGAATCGGTTATAGAATGTATTTCCAGTCGTTATTACCTCGTTTCCAAAGTTAAAACCATAATCATTCAAGTCAGATGCTAGGATTGTGTATTTCGGCTTCATCTGTTGATCCTGGTTTTTCGAAAATAATAATGGACGATAGCTGCTTATATGTACATTCCATTTTGTTGGCCATCGACCACGTATATCATTTGATTTTTTGCATGTATCGGCGTAGTGACCTTCAGTGGCACAGATGCAACAATATTTGCGCTTTGGCGGATTTTTCGATGACCTTGGCTCTTCAACCAATGGCTGATCTAAGGTAGTCTGTAAATTAGAAACAAGATTTTTTCGATCATGTTTTTCACTGCATTTGTTTGGAAAATTTATTTAAAAATGTGATACTTACCGTTGAATGATATCTACGCCATCGATCTGGACAAAATATTTCCCGGTGACCTTTTTGATTACATCCAAAACAAACCAACATTCGTTCGCGTGAACAATTTTGACAACCCCGAAAATATCGTTGTGCCTTATTACCACACTGTGTCAAATGAAAAATATTTTTTTTTTTATATGAATAGAATGAAAACAAATGCAAAGTATCGAAAATCAAAATAAATTGAAACTCACGCTTAGACAAATTGTATTTGGGCACTTTGGCTCAAGATGACCTTCCACACCGCACATGTGACAAATCTTTTTTTGCTGGTGGTCGTGGACAGTTTTTGGCCAAATGGCCCTTTTCCTGGCAATTTAGGCAACGATATTGACGACCCCTATTATAACTGGACCCTGGAAATTTATCTTTGTTTGTAATCATCCAGTTGAGGTAGCCTCCTTTAAACAGAGCAAAAACCGTAAATTAATTGGGTCAAAAGTTCCATGTAAAAATGGACGAAAAAAAACACTTACTTTGCATTCGAGCACGAATGTTTCTCATGCTGAACGTTTCACCACCCCATGAATCATTGTAGAATCGTCTCATCTCATCATTCCACCCACTTTCTAGATCAAACTCAGACACTTCGCTGTCATCTTCATTTTGATTAGTTTCATTTTCGGTCACATTTTCATTTGATTCATTTGCTGGTGTTGTTTTTTGTGCCGAGTCTGATTTTGTATTTTCCGATTTTGCGTCATCCGATACCACTTGATCACTTTCACCATTAATATCCGTAAATATTCGACCCAAATTCAAATCGTCCGTTTCGCCTACTTGATCCGTAACCTCCCATGGGTTCGTTTTTTCATTTTCTGGTGCAACAGTTTCGGCTTCAACAGTTTGATTCTTTTTCGATTTCTTTGTTCTGCGTTGCAACACAGTTTCAACAATGTCACGTGCCTCAATCGTTTCAGTTGGTGTTTCTTGTGTACTTTCCAGTTCATCATTGTCACTTTCATCTTGACCACGAACGATGCTCGACAATTTATTTATAAAATCATTTTCCGATCGGTTTTCGTTCGTGTTTTTATTGGGCTTTGTCGATTTTTTCTTATTGGAATTTTTCACTTTTCCAAGCGCTTCACCACGCACCAAATATGAAATTTCATTCGACACCTCGTCCTCATCGTCATCGGTGTCATCATCCATTTCGGGTAAATCGGAGCTAGATTCATCGGAGTATTTGTGATCCGATTCTTTAGCGCTGCCCGAACTCTTTTTTCGTTTTCGCAAACGTTTCGATTTTGGAATCGTTATACTTTCCACACTACTGCTATCCGAATCAGACAATTTCTTTCGTTTATTCGATGTGCCTTTTGCATAAATTGAATCTGGCATATCTGAACTTTCCGATTCGTATACATCGACGGCAGTAAAACTGTTGGCACCAACTTCATATGATTTCTTGGCTTTGTTTTTATCTTTTTGCATTTGTTTTGGTGGTGTGAAAATCGCATTGTCATTATTAGTTGGAATGGGCGTTCGTTTGCTTGATGTACTTTCTGACGTTTTGTTATGAGTCAATTGATTTTCAACCGTTTCACTCACATGACAAAGATCTTCATCCGAAAGTGTTGCAAATGTGTCAAAGCCAAATGTTCTTTGGTCATTTTGTGCAATAAAATCATCGGTCGATTGAATTGAACTGGATGGGCTTGAACAGCGTGGCATTTTACGACGATTATCACTAACGGCATTTGGTTCGGTGAATGCATGCTCTGCGACATTAGTTGCATTGCTTTCTTCATCGTCCGAACTGTCAAGGCAAATCAATGGTGGTTTCTGTGTTGGCAGTATAATGACATCGTCATCATCTTTATCTGCATCGTCTACATCGATAACGTCGGCATTTGCAGCCAGTTGTTTTAACTCTTCGCGATTTTTGCGTACACTTTTCGTATCTGATTTCTTCTTTTTCGCCTTTCTCGACAGTGGATTGAACGGATTCAATCGTTTTTTATTTAGAAGAGTTTTATTCGCTACACTTACGATCGAATCATCTTCGCTTAATAAATTTTTGTATTGTTCAATCGTGCCTTTTTTGCTGAATGGATTTATGTGTGTGACTGTTAAATTTTTACGAATCAAATCATTATTTGTGTTCAATACAGTTGATTTGGGTTCACTTTGTTTACTTGTACTGGCCACCGGTGATGGTGATGGTGATTGCGTTTGCTCTTCATTAGCAGTGGAATCGTTAAATGGTAAAAACGATATGTACGGTGTAAATTGTTTGGGTGTAACAGTTGTTGGTGCATTACTGATACCATCACGATTTTCATTATTTTTGGCATCATCAGGTGCGCTTTCATTCACATCTTTGGTCGTAACTTTACCCGTTTTGTAAATGCCTAGAGATAAGTTAAAAAAAAAATGAAATCAAATGAAAATAACGTGAAAATGAAAGTGAAATGCTTATGTAAGTACCCGACTGTTTTTCCTTGTGAAATGGCTTAAAATTCGATGCAGCCCTATTGTTTGGGGTATTTGTGCTCCAGTATCGTTTGGCATTTCGTCGTGCCGCTGAACCATTTGATCGGTCCAATTCAGTCAGTGTGTTATCATCATTGTTACCGTTATTCGATGCAGTCGATTGATTTTCATCGTATCCCGTATTATAATGAATATTTGCATAGAGTAAATTTTCCACGTGCTCCAAATCTTCTCGATCATAGTCATCATTATCATGATCCTAAGATAAATGCACACCGAAAATTAACTTTGTTATAAATAAACTTTGAAAAACAATAAACAAAAACTAAACAACTTCTGCTGATAATTTTACCTCGCTCATGATTTATACTCTACAAATCCACCTTTTGTGTGGCTTTCACTTTTTATGTGCAACTTGAACTAGTTGTATTATTATTTTTCTTTTTTCCGTTTTCTTTATTCTCTTTATTTTCTGATGTGTTATTGACAGTTCAATTTGTATTGAGCTAATGTTAGTTAAAAGCTTGCTGGCACATGGCTGTGCACAAATGTCACACATACTCAGACATTAACAACACATGCATGTCATAACATTTGAATGGAGCCGACAATGCAGAAACAGAAACATTGCAGTTAAATAATTTCTGCAACTTAGGCAAATGAATCGAAAATAATTTCAAATCTAAATCGAAACAATTTCAAGATAAAAAATGTGAAAAAAGTTGAAAAAAAAGTGGAAAAAACATGCTAATGATTTAAGTACGTTAAGTACTTAAGCGCGTGGAAATATTGAACGCAACCAATTATGATAGAAGTGTCAAATAACCATCCATTTTTATTTTTCTTTTTCTATCACGATTCGTAATTGCATTGCATGTTATTTAAAGTAAAGTTATATTGTGTGAGAGAAAATTTCGTATAATTCAAAAGGTACATTTCGTGAATTGTGTGGCATTTAGAATTCAAGTGTTAGTTTTTTCTATAGAAAAATCTTGAATGTGAAAAAGTGTGAAATTAAATGAATTTTTATTGCAGGATTGTCAAATGTCGGCAAACAATCATTCATCATAACGAAAATAATACGCAAATGTTCTGGCAATGTGCTCGGTTTCAACTGCGTTGTATAATAAATCAAAAGCGAATCAATTGCAAAAGCACGACACAATAAAATCAATTGAACTGCTCTACATTTGAAAGTGGAAAATTTCACCGTTGTGGTGAAAAACGAGTTGTTTGGTGAAAATTGACCAGCACGACTGAAAATTGGTTGTGGACAACAACGGGTGGACGTCTGGACGACTGGAAAAGGAGGCATCATCAACATCATCATGGAAGGAAAGATAATAATAAAAGAGAATTTTTTTAAGCCATCCATCAACGATATCATTCAAAAGTTTAAAATTCAAAATGACATTTTTGATCGACGAAGGCATGCAACAAACAAAAAAGAAATTGTTGATATATCGAAATCGTGGCGTATACGGGATCGAATGAAAACGGTGAGCGTGGCATTGGTTGTATGTTTAAATGTTGGTGTTGATCCACCAGATGTGTTTAAAATAACACCTTGTGCCCGATTAGAATGCTGGATTGATCCATCGTCAATGTCACCGCAGAAGGCGCTCGAATTGATCGGCGCCAATTTACAAAAACAATACGAACGTTGGCAACCACGGGCCCGTTACAAGCAATCACTTGATCCAACCGTTGAAGATGTGAAAAAATTGTGCGTTTCATTGCGTCGCAATGCAAAAGAGGAACGGGTTTTATTTCATTACAATGGTCATGGTGTACCGCGACCAACACTGAACGGTGAAATTTGGGTATTTAATCGCACATATACACAATATATTCCATTGTCGATTTATGATTTACAATCTTGGATGGGATCACCATCGATTTATGTATACGATTGCTCGAATGCTGGCATCATTGTTAAATGGTTTATTCAATTTGCCGAACAACATGAACGTGAATTTGAGCAAATTGCATCGAGTACCGGAAATTTGAATGCATCGCCCAGTACACAGCCATTTAATTCATTTCGTAATTGTATTCAACTGGCTGCATGCAGTGAAGATCAAATATTACCAATGAATCCACAATTGCCGGCCGATTTATTTACTGCTTGCCTAACTACACCGATTAAAATCGCACTAAAATGGTTTATGTTACAAAAAACATCATTGCTGGTGCCACACCTTACCCAGGAATTAATTGATCGCATACCAGGTCAATTGAACGACAGACGCACTATGCTTGGCGAACTCAATTGGATTTTTACAGCAATCACTGATACAATTGCATGGAATACACTACCAAGAGATCTCTTTCAGCGTCTATTTCGTCAAGATCTGTTGGTGGCTAGTTTGTTTCGTAATTTTTTATTGGCTGAAAGGATAATGCGTTCGTACGATTGTACACCAGTTTCTAGTCCACAAATTCCCAATGGTTATCGGCATCATATGTGGCAAGCATGGGACTTGGCCATTGATTTGGCATTGCAGCAACTGCCCGATATCGTTGAACGCAATGCACCATACCAGAATTCACCATTTTTCGAAGATCAGCTAACCGCTTTTCATGTTTGGCTTGAGCGCGGCAACGAAGAACGTGAACCACCCGAACAACTTCCGATTGGTAAATTCAAGCATTTTTTCCTTTTCTTTTTCAGTATTTAAAAAAAAACGTTTCCATTTTTTTATTTCGCAGTTCTACAAGTGTTGTTGTCACAAGTACATCGCTTACGTGCCTTGGAATTGCTTGGACGATTTTTAGATTTAGGACCATGGGCCGTAAATTTGGCGTTGAGCGTTGGAATTTTCCCATATGTATTGAAGTTATTGCAAGCATCGGCCAAGGAATTGCGGCCACTATTAGTTTTTATTTGGGCAAAAATTTTGGCCGTTGATGTGACATGTCAAGTGGACTTGGTGTGTGATCAAGGTCAAAAATACTTTTTATCTGTGTTACAAGATCCAATAATTACACCAAATTATCGTACATTGGCTGCATTTGTGCTTGCGTCCATCGTTCATAATTTTCCAATGGGTCAAGCGAGTGCATTACAATCATCGTTAGTTTCAATATGTTTGGAGCAAATAAACGACCGATGTGCATCGTTGCGCCAATGGTTGGCCATCTGTTTGGGTCATTTATGGCAAAATTATGACAAGGCTAGATGGTCGGGCGTTAGGGATTTGGCACATGAAAAACTATATCCGCTGTTGTTGGACAGTGTACCTGAAGTGAGAGCAGCGGCTGTATATGCATTAGGCACATTCATAAGCTCACAAAAAACCGATCGCACCGAGCACGCAAATAATTTAGATCGAAGCATTGCATTAACATTATTCTCAACGGTTGGCAATGATATGAGCCCAATCGTGAGAATGGAACTTTTGGCTGCCTTACAATGGATCGTTATGCTATTTTTGAATGTATTCATGGCAGCATCAACACAAGATTCAAATACAAATAATGTTCCGAATACGCATAGTTGGGAACGAATAAAGCGTGTATCAAGCTCAAATTCAATATTGAACATAGGCACGACTGCCTTGGGATTCAATTCAATTTACATAAAGCTATGGCGTGGCTTGTTATCATTTTGCCACGATCCATGTCCGGACGTTGTAAAAATGGCCAAGGAAATTGTGATGTATATTATTGTCGATTTAAATCCAGCAAAAGAGGCTGAAAAAGAGACATATTCATTGAGTTTGCCACCAAGCCCAAATACAAGAGTTAATTATCTTGGTGGCAATTCGCCGCCGGTAGCCAATTTGTCATTGAGTCGTCATGGAATCGAGATTCATGGAAAAATTGAACGAAACAATTCACGAAGCACAACACCGATTCTGGATCGTTCACAATCGGGCAATCGTTCGCGTAAAAATTCACGCATTGAAACCGATTTGACGGCAGTCAATACAACAATAAATGCTGACATCAATATTACATCGGGAAGTTCATCAAATGATGAAAATCAAGATCCAATGAAACCAAAGCCAATTGTAACGACCAATTATATTTCATGGAGTTCGGCAAATGTCACCAATATGGGTGAAAAACATGAAAAATACTTTACAAAATCACGTTGCAAACATTTAGATCCGAAATTGGTGCGTGATATTGAGTATACAATTCAAAATGGTGTGTCCACATTGTATTTGTCACAATTGTGGTGTGCTCAAACACAAAGCACACCAAATCTAATCCGTTTTCATCCGTTTGAAGAGCAAAGTGCTGTTGCCTATAAAGATAAGGTTATGGTAAACGATCGAAATAGTAAATTGATTCATGCGTATGCACCGGCTGAAATACCGCTTAACATTCCAATGCATTGGCGGCATACACAAAATTCGGAAGTGACATCGTTTGAATTTATAAATCCATCGACACGAGCTCTTGTTCTAATCGGACATGATGATGGATGCATTCGCATTTGGAAACCACCGACAGACCATAGAGAAAAACCAACACTTATCACCGGATTCCAAGCAATAAGCGATGTTACCAATGCAAATCGCACAACAAACACATGTGGCCTAATTACAACATATCAACCGATGAATAATGTCATTGTAAGTGGCAGCAATGCGAAGAGTATTCGTTTCTGGGATCCAGAAACTGAAATGAAAAAGGCTGAAATACCGACCGATAGTGAGGCAGCTGTACGTGTACTCAGCACATCAAATGAAGGTTTAACGGTTGCCGGTTTTGATGATGGCTGCTGCAAAATCATCGACATAAGATGTAATGTCGAATCATCCATTGTTCACACATATCGTGAGCATAATGAACGTTTGCTTGAATGTTCAATGATCACCGAAACCGGTACATTATTTACGGGATGTCGAAATGGCGAATGTGTTTGCATTGATTTTCGTACAAATCGTGTTATGGAACGATGGAAAATAAATCGTGAAGCAAGTGCAATGGCTGTCTATCCGTATAGTAATATTGTTGCAATTGGCGCCGAATCAACAATCACACTTTATCATTATAATGGACAAGAATTGAATCGTACACGCTGTGGCAGCGACAGTGGCTATCGAGGATCTCGAAAGTATATTTCTTGCTTAACATTTCATCCGCTCAAAGGCCATATCGCATGTGGCTATTCGGATAATTTGGTAACGGTCTACGAAATAAACGACCGAGTAACCAGACCGATTTCATACTATTGGTGAAAATACACCGATACAAAGCACTTAACATTTATAATAGCGCATTTTTTAACGATTTTGTGGCATCAGCTTCTTTTCAAGGAGGACATTGTACATAGAATTTTTTTTTTAGCTTTAAATACAATTCTATATATATGTATGTATGTATTTAACAATACAATCTAAGAACGACAGACACAAGCATTGATTTCATCAACTGAAAGCAACAAACAAAATCTGAAAACGTTTCGATCATGTATACAACAATCTGAAGCTGTCGAGATAAATTGATATCAATGATAAGAACTTAATAATGACGACGATAAACGATAAAATTATATAAACAATATATATATATATATATGGAGAGAGAGAGACACACACAAAGAGAGAAAACAGGCCATGTTTATATCCAAGCGCAAATAAAACCAAACACATATTCACATGCTCAAGTAGATGAAACAAACGCTTTCAGTCATTTGAAATAGCACATAAATAGTTTCATACAAATTATGTACATATACAGCTTTTTCGTTCTTTTTTTTCTGATTAAATCTAGTCCCATTCTTTTAGTATATTCTGCAGTATATTTTCTTTATTATACAACAGCATACAAACACATTTACGGTATATAACACAAAATTGATATTGATATGAATACAGGAAAACGGTCTCGATTTTATTTTAGCACATCAACGAAATCGTCTTCGATTTGCATCTCAGCGATAGATAAAAATGGAATATTTGCATTTAAAATAACATATTATATATAAAAAATCACGAAACTGTATATGAAATTTCGAACGGAAATTATGAAATAAAAAAAGAAGAAAAAAATAAACGATTAAAAACGATTGGAAAATAATTAATTGTTGTAATTTTTCTTAATTTTTTACTGGTTCTAACTCATGAAACAAAAAATTTGAGTACAAAGGTAATTCATAAAAATCGATTTCCCCCTCAAAACTCTTGATCTGATGTAATTACTTACCGGAGTCTATTGTTCAATTTAATACATTCGAGCTGTAAACTGAAAAAAAAAAAACATTTAAATAATACAAATAGTTCTCTCTTCGGGTTTTTTTATTCAATTCGAAAATACATTATATTCGTCCAAATTATTCAAATCAATTTAAATAGTGGTCATTTTAAACACATACACACAAATTAATGTGCTTAATCAATTCGTCCGATTGAATGAACACATCAAATTATTCAAATCAATTTAAATAGTGGTAATTTTAAACACATACACACAAATTAATGTGCTTCGTAATAGACACTTATTTTATTTGTATTTGTTGTTTTTTTTTTAATTCCAATAAATAAATATGGTAAATCATTAAAATTATTTAAATAAAAATTGGCATCAATTGTCGTCAATCTAACAATTTAAAATACTTTTTTCATAACATCATATAAGCGTCATTAATCTGGTTAGTTTGTGAAATTCACTTGGAATCTATTGATTTATTAAGTATTTTGAGAAATTGAAGAATCCTATCCATTCAAATTCTTCTGTGACCTTTTACATTTGTCTCTGAATTCACAAAGTTAATGAGATATATAGCGGTTAATTCGTTTGTGCATGTTTGCAGTGTCAGACATATTACAAAACTACTGTGCAAGTCTACGCCAAACAATCGTGCGAAGTGAGTCTAGTGATGGAATTTAGAAAAAAAAAATGATTTGATAGAAGATACAGCAGCACGTTTATTACGTAATCATGGATATAATCGTTTCGTCGCTATCATTTTCGCCATTTAAATTGAATGTGATTTTCTACATTGAACAATCATATTACATTTGTATTGGCACATATTAAATTGTGTCAATGCCACTTTTTGGTAACAACATATTTATACTATTTAAATATAATCTGAAGAAGACAACATCATTTTATCGAAAATGTGCAACGTAAATATAAATAAAATATAAATCAAATATATGTATCAATGGAGAATCTGTATACTTGGCGTACAGAGCTTAAAAATGCTGCATATCCAACAGTATACCATGAGGATTTGATTTCATATAGAAGAAGAAAAAATAATAGCTGGCAAATTGGCAAATAACTTAAATTAAGGAAAAATAATAATTAATAGCTACTTTTGATATCAGTCAGTTGGAATGCACGGTTTAAAGTGTTTTGTCTCGTTTCCTCTGAAATTTGGCATTTTTCTACTGTTATAAGACCATTTTTTTTTTAAATTTAAATACATAAACAAATAAAAGTCTTAGTACTTATACTTAACAATAGGTCTTTTTTAATGGACGAACTGTCGCTTTTCTTCCCGGTCCTGAGCAGGTAACATTCGATTTCATAACAAAGTTATAGGCTTTTCGCATTGCAATTGATTTGATTTCATGTACTGTTATCATTCCTAATTGAATAATTGAAATACAAAATCATTAAATCATTGAATATGTTAAATGTTTATGTAAACGTATTACCTCGCACTTCACATAAATGACTATAAGGCAAGTAATTGAATAGCGGGTGATCTTGCGGTGTGATAGTTGCATTTTCAGCACAAATACCTAAATATTAGGAATTTATGGTATATTTATTTGCAAATTGTCTAAACCTAAAAAACTTACCTGTCAAATAAACGTCTTCTAAGTGTAATATTGGCATTACCATCGATGCATTGTATAATTTTTCACTAGCATCCATTGTGAACACATATGCAGTACCAGATAAATAGTTTGGATAATTTGTCTTATCGTACATGTATCGTGGCGCGAACCTATCGAACATTTACAGTTGAATTTTAATTTGGTTTTTGTTGTTTTTAAACATTCTATTACCATTTACTTCGAAAATCTCTGATTGGCTTTGACTTGCAAAATCGAGTGCCAATCAAAAGATTTTCATACTGATGCAGTCGATTTGCGGCGGATAGTGTGCGTATCGTTTTTTGATTATATCGCTGAAGTGTATAATTATACACGGGGACTGTGCCACCAAGTAGAAAATGAATCAAATTCGGTACATGAACAAACGTATCATCATCACATTTCATTAAAAATTTTACTAGAAGAAAAGAAAAGATCACATGATATTAATTTTTAAAATCATTTTACGATAATCAAATTCCATTGTTTGTTTGTTTATACCTTTTCCAACGCAATTATTGTTGATCCATTTCAACATCATAACAGTTTTTAATGTTAAATTATTGTAGGTATCTAAAAAACTTTCTTGAATGAGGTCGTTGTGTATGCGACTCTCTTCAAGAATTTGATCCTGGGTTTCATTGTTTTCAGTTTGGCCGATAAGAAAGACGGTTCGTATTTGGAAGTCTACATGACTAGTTTCATCATAAATGTTATCACTATTTTTTTCTTTTGCACTATCGGAAGACTCCTATTGCATTTAAAAATTGAAATATGTTTTTGTGTTAGAAATAAAAATTATCAAAAATTTTAAAAAATGATGTAAATTAGAACAATTCAAACGCAAACGCCCATATAAAAAGTTATGTGCAATAAAATTTTATTTGAGCTACCTTATAGTTAGATACTGTATAATTCCTCCAATTAGGATAGTTAATCGGTAAATATTTTCCTCTGAGGTGTGAATGAAGCGATGAAAATTTTGAATAATTGAATTCGCTGGTGTTGGCCCACGTTTCTCGCAATGTTTGTCTGTACCAATTAGCACAACATTTAATAGAAGCACGTGGTTATTGGATGTATGGTATACTTGATTAATACTATACCTTATTTCAAAATTGTCAGCCGATGAACAAATTACGATGAGCAGCAAAATTGGTGAATTTCCTTTACATAATGACGATGGTTCTAAAATGGTGGTATTCTCATCGGGCAGAATATAAAATGGTATACTTCGGCTCTGGTTTCGATCCCATCCAGAAACTGACAAATTTACTGGAAAACGCATAAGTTTTTTGTTTTGTTATTCATTTCTATGTTATAAAATGAACATTCAAAAAAAAAGAGAAGATAATAATAAGAAAAAAAACTTACATCCAAACGCAGATCCATCCAAATAAAGCGATAAATAAATTTGTGACAAAATTATCAGCGTAGAAGAAAATCCAAATATACACAGAAATAGCTTAAGATATTTATTTCGGCGTGATAATTTATGCGATGGCAACATTTCGAAATTATTATATTCGGCGGAATGCCTTGAATCGCCGATATAATTTGAAATGCGACGATTAATTGCATCCGTTTTATTCACACTGTCATTTCGTACTAGCGTACAACTTTCTTGCGTCGATGTATCGCTACCGGCATCATCATCACTTTCATCAATTAAATCCATTATACATCGAATCACAATCAATTAATTCATCAATCCAATGATCGATCGCATTGTGGCCAAATATTTTCCGGGCAACATTTATCTAATCAAAACTGTACAAATCCACATTATAAAAAAAAATCAAGTATTTTTTTAGGCGGTTTGATTGAAAAAAATGTTTTCTTCACTTTTTCATACCTTTACAAATGACTTTAGAATGACACATTCTGACTGAATAAAGCACTGCAGTTATCAATTCAAATAGAGACTACTACAATAACTCGTAGTGTACTATTTTTATAATTTACTATAATTAGAATTAGATGATTTTTTGAATTTGTAAATGAGGTCGAGAGCAGCAAATAAATTTTACAGAAATATGAAATTTTGCACTACTACAGATTCAATCGATTTTTTTTTATTTAAAAAAATAGGATAAAGGTAACAATTTATCACAATTTTATTTCGATGAAACTACATTTCGTTGCATACACGATTGGTTTTACGCTGTCTTGATTTTTTTAAGTGGTTAAAAGATAAGATAATTTATTTCAGATTAATCGAAAAATATCGAAATCGGCTGGTATTGCGTGCTGTACAAATGACAGCTGAAGCAAATCAAACATAGTTATCGATGCAAACATGAGACTAGTGTCAACACGAAAACGTCAAACGCATGTGTGTAATAATGATACAAACTGCCGGTGTATGCGTTCAAATATATATGCGCTTAAGTGTGTGCGTCGGATGGTATATCGATTTGGGGAAAATACAACAAAGAAAAAAAAATCAATCATTTTTAGCACAGTTTTAATAGACGTATATATAAAATTACAAAATATATCTATTTATATATACAAGTAGTATGAAATTGGCGGTTTAATCCACGTTTCTTAGTATTAGTGCACACACACACACATACGCAAAAAAAAAAATTCTGCGTGTATAAAATGTTTACGAACACATTGAGGGAAACAAAAAAATTATTATTATTTCAGTTTATTTCTTTTGGTCAAACAATCAGAAGAATGTTTATCTTTTTTTTTATTTTCACCAGCGAAATTTTCCGTTTTCTTTGTTCCATAAATTTTACATTCCTTTGAAGTGTTTTTTTTTTCGTATCGCACTATAATAAGTGGCGCCATCAATAATTTTCAACAGCATACGAAAGATTCAATATGGCGTCGGGCCAAACTTCAATTGCTATGCAAAAAAAGTCTATTGTCATCGACACAATTTTTTTTTTGCACTATTTACAGACTGTGTATAGTAAATTAAATAAATTTGCAGCGAGAATTAAGCGAAAATCGAACAATCAAATGGAACTTTCTAATATGGTGAGTAATTTTAAATAATTAGATTGCTGACATTCTTAGAAATTCATCGAATATTCTATAGTACTGAATTTGATGTGTCGTATAAGCATTCATTTAATCGGGAATTTAAATTTAAATTTCTAGGATAACCAACTCAAACCCACCATTGAAAAACTATTCAATGCATTAAATAATAAAAATGACAGCGAAATTCTGGGTTATTACGAGCGCACGGTTTTGTTGCTGAACAATGCATATTTTGTAAAAAGTCATTGGCCGGATGACAAAAAATTTGGTAAAGACAAATTGTCAATTATACTCTGCAAAGAATTACGTCAGCGTCATGCATATACGCACATCTCGTCACTACCAAACCAGGACCACAAGTCTGCATTTGAAAACTGTCGCAAATTTTTTGATTTGATTGCGAAGGCATCGAAACCCGTTCAATTGAAACTGCCAGACGATTGGCTATGGCAAATAATCGACACTTTCGTGTCTCGATATATTGAGGTTAACGGGCGTGATGATGCGAGAAATACATTTTCTGATATATACAGCAAATTTCTAACGCATTCATCCAACATCGATTCCAAGTCAGTTGCGAGTACGCTGCACTATTTTAGTTTGGTTGAAATGTTGCGCTTACATTCGTTGTGTGGTGATTATAAAAAGGCAATTAATTTGTTGAAATCGATTAATATTCACAAGAAGGATCAAAACACACCGATACCAGCTTTTGAAGTCTTGACGTCGTATTATGCTGGTTTCTCTTATATGATGATGAGTCGCTACAGAAATGCCATTGATACGTTTACCTCAATTTTGGTGACCATTCATGAAAATAAGTCGTTGTACATCAAGCGGTCATATCAAAATAATCAAATCAACGAACTAATCGAAAAAATGTACCGATTGATGACGATTTGCTGGGCAGTTGATAAGACGCCAGTCGACGGAATAATTCTAAGATCGTTGCAGTAAGAGATAAACAGATAAACAAATGTCTGTTTTTTTAATTATTTTCATGTGTCTGTTTTTTCTTCAATCGATTCCATTGCCAAATTCTCATTTTCATTTATTTGCTTGTTATCCATTCCGTTTTCATACTATAGTGACAGGGACTACACGGACGGGTTTATTAACATGGTCAACAACGATTGGAATGAGTTCGAGGGATTCTTCAAGTCAGGCCGCCCAGAACATATAATTGATGAGGCATCGACTGATTTCAAACTACAGATTGAGCAACATTTCAATAGTCACATTTTTCATCATTCTCGCCCAGATGCTGAATTTCCAGATTCCCCAAACAACCGGAATTTTACAATCACAGAAACATGTAGCAAAACACTGGTAATGACCACACTGGCATCGTTTACATTGATATGTGTTGTCGTCTTTGCAATGTCATTTTTTTGTTTGCTTCTCAAATATCAGTTCATGGTTGATTTTTATGAAAATTATAGCCTGTATTATTTTGGTTTGGCAATCGTTTTGGTTGTTTTGATTGTCTTTTGTGGGTGTATCTTTATGAATGCTGACAAGCACTAGTTAGCTAGCATCGGAAAAAAATGCCAATCAATCAAAATTATCAAAAATATTTTATGTTAATAATAAAATCACTTAATTTTCATAATTTTTGTTCTATTTTTAGCATTCATTTATTAAGAGATCATGTGTCCTGTTTGTTTTTGAACACTATTACATTTTTGACAATTTTTCTTTCCAGCAAAACATCATAAGCAAATATATAGAGCTCTTTGAAAGAATAGTTCGTCTCATCGGCTTGGCATTATCGAAGTTGATTCAGAAAATTGTCCCTACTAAATTACGTGGATTCGTGTAATTTGTATGATTTACATTGAAATAAATCACTCGTTTGTGCTGAACATGTAAAAGCAATAAACATAAAAGCAAATGAACATATTTGAATTGGTTTTATTTCTTTTGTTTGAAACGAGGAATACATAAGCAATTCCAAAGCTAGAATCTGTCTTCAAAATGATTGTGAATGGTATTGATGATATAAAATATCTAGGGGGAGATTGCGAAGTTGTTTACAAGAAGAATATAAACAAATATATACGACTATGCCACCAATATATTCCAATATACTTAACAAAATACTCTAGCTATTAGAGTATTACTCTAGTTACTTAAACGACTCACTGTAAAAATATTATTGAAAAGGAAATGTTTCAATGAAAAACCGAAAAAATGGTTTTTTCTTGATTTGTATAATTAAAAAAAATGTTTTATTTTATTTTTTATTGTGTGTTTTATTTATTTA